GCTGAGGGTTTCTATTGTTGCTGCGGGTTTATATTGTTGCTGCGGATTTATATTGTTACTGCAGGTTTATATTGCTGCTGCGGGTTTATATTGTTGCTGCAGATTTCTATTGTTGCTGCGGGTTTATATTGTTGCTGCAGATTTCTATTGTTGCTGCGGGCTTATATTGTTGCTGCGGGTTTATATTGTTGCTGCTGGTTTCTATTGTTGCTGCGGATTTATATTGTTACTGCGGATTTCTATTGCTGCTGCGGGTTTATATTGTTGCTGCAGATTTCTATTGTTGCTGCGGGTTTATATTGTTGCTGCGGGTTTATATTGTTGCTGCGGATTTCTATTGTTGCTGAGGGTTTCTACTGTTGCTGAGGGTTTCTATTGTTGCTGCGGGTTTATATTGTTGCTGCGGATTTATATTGTTACTGCGGATTTCTATTGCTGCTGCGGGTTTATATTGTTGCTGCAGATTTCTATTGTTGCTGCGGGTTTATATTGTTGCTGCGGGTTTATATTGTTGCTGCGGATTTCTATTGTTGCTGCGGGCTTATATTGTTGCTGCTGGTTTCTATTGCTGCTGCACTTTTTTATTGTTGCTGCGGGTTTATATTGTTGCTGCGGGTTTATATTGTTGCTGCGGGTTTCTATTGTTGCTGCGGATTTCTATTGTTACTGGCTACAGGGAATCTATTTTACTGTCTTTCCTGTTAACATAAATTCCATACATTCCATCTACATTACTAAGAGAACTGGCAATTTGTGGACAATATCTGAATGTGGATGCGGATAGGTAGGCACAGCTCATGCGATATACTCAGGGGTGGCCCCCGCACCCCACTATTGCAAAGAAATCGATTATTGTGGTTATATATAGTCATGAGCTGGACAGGAGAAGGCAAAAGAGCAAATGAAGAGCTACAAGGATCTCCTGGGGAAAGAAAGGGTTAAACGACATCCATGGAATCAATGTAATCCATCATATAACATTGACATCAATGTGCGGCTCACCCACAATGCACCCTAATGAGGACAGAATACATGCAGATTGCATTGGCTTACAAACACTATACATATATATTTTCTATAACACAACATTACAAATGTGATCTGAAATGTTTGTGCCAATTAAGGGAGAACTAGAATAAAATATTTAGCAGACATTCATAATGTAGCCTCATGTGCACTCAATGCTTTTACTTTGACTGTGAGCAGCGCTGCATTGTGTGTTATGGTTAGCTCGTAAGAGAACATGTCCCTTGAGTCCAGCTAACTTTCCAGAAACATACTCCAAGGGTTTATTAAACATTACTTCCACTGCATTGACAATGAATACAGCATGAAGATCAATAATGATTCTCTTTGAAAACGTTTGGCTGAATTTTGGAAATTGTGTTGCAGTTCCACTAATTACCAGCAGAGGCACAGCTGTATCACGGCGTACTTCTGATTTCTACAGGAGACTCAATATTGATTATTGATCTCTCCAATAATAAAAGAGGACCATGAAGATGGATTACAGCTGGAGAGATCTACATTAGTGTCTTCAACACATCAACAGAGGTCTAAATAACAGGATAGGGCCCTGGTGCAGATACGTTCTGTGTGCCCAGGACAGGAGGGGGCTCCACGTTTGGGGTGGGGAAGAGACACTGGAATAGATAGTAATAACAGACAATTCATGAAAGCATATCACATGACATGAGGTATTTGGGTCACATGACTCATTTTTAGAAAAAAAGCGAATGGGGTACTGAAAATGTCCATTTATATCCCTTTATGCGGTATTTAACTCAAAAAGCAAAAACATTCAGTAAATACCGCATAAAACAGCGCTAAAGTCAGTTAGCTAAAGTAAAATAAATAAATACATGCGTTAAATAAGTAGTCCAGGCGTGTGATATTTAAGAAATGTATGAAAATTCAGCTGGTTGCTAAGGAGCCAGCACCCTCCACGTCCTTAACAACCAGGGACGGACTGACAACTCATGGGGCCCCCGGGCAATAGGGGATCATGGGGCCCCTGTGTCCTTGCCCACACTCAAAAAAGCCTATAAAAAAGGTACCAGGGGCATTTCATGGGGCCCCCTACTGACCCCGGGCCATCGGGCTGTGCCCGAGTGCTCGAATGGTCAGTCCGCCCCTGTTAACAACCATGAGCCATCTGCTGTCAGCGGGATTCCCCACTGACAGCAGAACGTAAGCAAAAGAAGAGCCAGCACAATACAAGTCACTCTTCCTAGGACTGTCCTAAGAATGTTATTGTCAGTCTCTGCAGAGCCGTTCCCTTCCTGTACCTTCATTTCTTCATTGCCTCCCATATCTCACCTCTCCAGCAATAAAGCTGAATGTTTTATTCAGAGGAATTTACTGCCTTGTTTTGTATCTGAAGGTCTTGCGCAGCTCTCGCCATAAAACCCGAGTTGGGGAATCATAATTCCTGCAGCCTAAACAATAGCTGTTAGGATTTTTAACTATTCAGGGCTGGTAGTCAGAATTTGTCAGGCTGTTCATGAATTATGCGGGGCTGGCTCCAGATATACACGATTTTACAAGAAATTGACTCCAGCAACCCACTAGCAGAGTGACTCCAATTTTCATTTCTGTACAGCTGACTGCCTGGGTAGGTGAGCTTGTAGGACTGCCAGGGGTGTAATATCCAGAATGGTTCTGAATCTGCCCCATGCAGGATAAGTGGTTTGCTCCAAGTAGTTCACTTGCAGAAACGAAAGGGCCTTCTCACAGTCACCAATCTGATCAAACCTGACTTCAGGAAATACATTCCCAGTGACCCTGTGAGGGGCTCCTTGGATTCTGGCTAGAGGAATTAAATGATAAAAATAAGTCAGCAGCTACAAAAACTGATTTTTCACTGGCCATCCTTTCTCCCAAGCACCGGCATCTTAAGTGTGGGCACCCAGCTGTGACAGCTTGCGGCTGGAGCTGCTCCTTATGAATTGTCCTGTAGCCTTCTGGGACCTGTCACGTGTCCTAGAAGACTGTGGGGGGGGACAACTTCTGATAGCCTAGGTGGTCGGAGCAGACAAAGCACTGAGTGATCAGCAGTCATCAGACCACTCAGGTGTGGGCCATCTGCAACATAGAGGAGAGTATGGATGTTTGTTTTTTTTCAAGGTCTATACATCTCCTCTAAAACAAGTCCAGAAACCTTAACTCTAAGCTCTTTGGAGCACAGTTCTCATAGACTTTAGCTGTACTATAAGTCACTCTAACCCACAGAAGGATGTCTTTGAGCAACCACCTGCTAAGCTCCAATTGTCAGAACCAGGATCTGAACTCACAACCTCTGCTACGTCCAGCAGTAGCTCTTCTTGCTGAGCCACCTGAGATGCTGGACAGCTCATCCCTTGAATAATCATGCCTTGTACCTTGCTTCTGATGAACCTTAAATTCCTTGCTCCTCCCATGAACTTCCTATTTAAGTCATGCCTTTGCACTTCCTGTTTACCAGATTACTGTGCTCTCTCCAGCTGATATCTTGCTCCTTTGCATACCTGCAGCTGTCCTCATCTTCACTATCACTGGTTACCGACATTTGACTTGTTTCTCGACTACACTTCTGCTTGATCCCAGCCTGCTACTATTTATGGTTGACCTTTGGCTTGTTACTCGACTACACTTCTTCTTGATCCCAGCCTGCTACTATCCATGGTTGACCTTTGGCTTGTTACTCGACTACACTTCTTCTTGATCCCAGCCTGCTACTATCCATGGTTGACCTTTGGCTTGTTACTCGACTACACTTCTGCTTGATCCCAGCCTGCTACTATTCATGGTTGACCTTTGGCTTGGTACTCGACTACACTTCTGCTTGATCCCAGCCTGCTACTATTCATGGTTGACCTTTGGCTTGTTACTCGACAACACTTCTGCTTGATCCCAGCCTGCTACTATTCATGGTTGACCTTTGGCTTGTTACTCGACTACACTTCTGCTTGATCCCAGCCTGCTACTATTCATGGTTGACCTTCGGCTTGGTACTCGACTACACGTCTGCTTGATCCCAGCCTGCTACTATTCATGGTTGACCTTTGGCTTGTTACTCGACTACACTTCTGCTTGATCCCAGCCTGCTACTATTCATGGTTGACCTTTGGCTTGTTACTCGACTACACTTCTGCTTGATCCCAGCCTGCTACTATTCATGGTTGACCTTTGGCTTGTTACTCGACTACACTTCTGCTTGATCCCAGCCTGCTACTATTCATGGTTGACCTTTGGCTTGTTACTCGACTACACTTCTGCTTGATCCCAGCCTGCTACTATTCATGGTTGACCTTTGGCTTGTTACTCGACTACACTTCTGCTTGATCCCAGCCTGCTACTATTCATGGTTGACCTTTGGCTTGTTACTCGACTACACTTCTGCTTGATCCCAGCCTGCTACTATTCATGGTTGACCTTTGGCTTGTTACTCGACTACACTTCTGCTTGATCCCAGCCTGCTACTATTCATGGTAGACCTTTGGTTTGTTAGACTATGCTTCTGCTTGATCCCAACCTGCTATATCTGCTACTGGACCCTGGCTTGCTCACCTCCTGGTGGGACGATCCTGAGGAATGTGACCTGGTGCTAACAGCCTGAAAAACCCATCCTCACCATCAGGAGCTCTGGTGAATACCGGTTAGTGCTTAGAGCCCGCACCTCGGATGAGCACACGTCATCCTCCAGGGTGACCTACCCATGTATTTATCCTGCTGGTTGGTGGGAGCCTCTCTACTGCTAATAGCTACTGGTCTCTGAGTCTGACCCCTGACCATGACACCGATACACAAGGATAAAGCAAAAGCCTAACTCTATCCTTTGTGGAAAAAGGGTTAAAGAGAATGAAAGACACTGGTGTTGTGTAGGAAGCAGAACAGCAGCCTCAAGGCAAGAGAATGAACATTTCCTATTTCTATCACATCTCTACAGACCCTGCTGGAGCTATCCCACTGTATATCTATAGGACTACAGTAACCCCATCCTAGAGAGCGAGCAGACTTACCATACCATTCATCGATCCATGCAAATGCTTGCCGGTGCCCAATTAGCAAGATATCTCTCACAACCTGCCAATAAACAAAACATGACTTATTTCAGAAAGATTCATAAAATGCAACAAAAAGAAGGACAGTCTGGACTTCATGTCTAGTGATTTGGGAACTGCGAGGATCAAAACTAAGCAGTGACCTTCTAATGGCAACAAGTGCAGAATGGAACCCAGAGCAGTCTGGAAGGAAGAAGCTACAATACTTTGCTCAAGTTAATAAATCAATCTGTATAGTGTCCTTCTGTCAGCGTTGACCAAATTCCTTGTGTCACCCAGGCTCCCTATGGGTCCATTCACACAGGCCAGTGTTCATTTTCACGTCAAGTTTCCATTTAGTTTTCAGTCATAGTCTTTTGATTAAAATGCTGTTTTAGTTTTAGTTGTATTTTAGTCGATTAAAATAGTGTTAATCCAGTTGCACAACATATTTTGGCCGAGAGAAATGAACACCACACTTTACATACAGTACTTTGTGTTGACTTTAGCTGAGTTTGAATGCATTTTACATGTTCATTTGGTCTGCTGTGGAGCATTTTAAGGGGCCATTTTTTCTACCTCCCTATGTTCGATATGCTGCAGGGGACCCAAAAGGCATCGTAAATGAAGTTAGTAGTGGTGAGTACTTCAGTAATTGTCAACTGTAGCTGTGGAATCCCCCCCCCCCCCCCCCCCGGCATTTCTGTCAGATAACGCACCACTTCACTCAGAAAATTGCTGCAATGACAAATGTTTCGGCATTCTCATGTTTATTTCTTTGGTTTGTATTGGTGTATCACAAAAAAAGTGGGGAAACAAGAAGCCAAACCTGACACATTCCAAGCAAAACCCCAAAAGTGGACTGGACTAAATTATTGGCACCTTCTGAAAATTGTAAGAAATAATTGTATTCCAAGTTTGTGATCCTCCCATAATTTGTCATTAAACTCACCTGTATCAATGACCAGGTGCTGACAATATAGAAATCACAACGGCAACCAGATACAATGGGTGGAAAATGGACTCCGCCTTTCTGTTGTGTGTCTCTGGAGCATGGAGAAGAGAAAGAGCAGCAAAGAATTGTCTGAGGATTGGAGAACAAAATTGGTGGGAAAGCATGGACAATCTCAAGGTGACAAGTCCATCTCCAGAGATCTTAATGTTCCTGTTTCCACTGTGCGCAACATTGTCAAGAAGTTTACTGCCCATGACACAATGGCTAATCTGCCTGGATGCCGACGAAAGAGAAAAATTGATCAAAGATTGCAACGAAGGATTGTATGAATGGTGGCTAAAGAACCTCAATCAGCTTCCAGACAAATTTGAGCTGACCTTCAGGCCCTGGGTACAACTGCGTCAGCCCGCACTATACGTCGCCATCTGAACGAAAAGGGGAGCTATGGTAGGAGACCCAGGAGGACCCCACTGCTGACACAGAAATATGGGAGGAGACCCAGGAGGACCCCACTGCTGACACAGAAATATGGTAGGAGACCCAGGAGGACCCCACTGCTGACACAGAAATATGGTAGGAGACCCAGGAGGACCCCACTGCTGACACAGAAATATGGTAGGAGACCCAGGAGGACCCCACTGCTGACACAGAAATATGGTAGGAGACCCAGGAGGACCCCTCTGCTGACACAGAAATATAGGAGGAGATCCAGGAGGACCCCACTGCTGACACAGAAATATGGTAGGAGACCCAGGAGGACCTCACTGCTGACACAGAAATATGGTGGGAGACCCAGGAGGACCCCACTGCTGACACAGAAATATGGTAGGAGACCCAGGAGGACCCCTCTGCTGACACAGAAATATAGGAGGAGATCCAGGAGGACCCCACTGCTGACACAGAAATATGGTAGGAGACCCAGGAGGACCTCACTGCTGACACAGAAATATGGTGGGAGACCCAGGAGGACCCCACTGCTGACACAGAAATATAGGAGGAGATCCAGGAGGACCCCACTGCTGACACAGAAATATAGGAGGAGATCCAGGAGGACCCCTCTGCTGACACAGAAATATAGGAGGAGATCCAGGAGGACCCCACTGCTGACACAGAAATATGGTAGGAGACCCAGGAGGACCCCACTGCTGACACAGAAATATGGTGGGAGACCCAGGAGGACCCCACTGCTGACACAGAAATATAGGAGGAGACCCAGGAGGACCCCACTGCTGACACAGAAATATGGTGGGAGACCCAGGACCCCTCTGCTGACACAGAAATATAGGAGGAGATCCAGGAGGACCCCACTGCTGACACAGAAATATGGTAGGAGACCCAGGAGGACCCCACTGCTGACACAGAAATATGGTGGGAGACCCAGGAGGACCCCACTGCTGACACAGAAATATGGTGGGAGACCCAGGAGGACCCCACTGCTGACACAGAAATATAGGAGGAGACCCAGGAGGACCCCACTGCTGACACAGAGACATATTGGAAGCCAGATTGAAGTTTGCCAAAACTTACCTGAGGAAGCCAAAACCCTTCTGGGAGAATGTGCTGTGGACAGAGAAAACAAAATGGCAGCTTTCTGGTAAAGCCCATCATTCTACTGTTTTAAGAAAAAGCAATGAGGCCTTTAAAGAAAATAATCCAGTCCCTCCAGTCACACATGATGGGGGGTCACTTTCAGTCCCTCCAGTCACACATGGTGGGGGGTCACTGATGATTTGGGGTGGCTTTGCTGCTTCAGGCACTGGATGTCTTGGCCGTGTGCAAGGCATTATGAAATCTGAAGAATTCTGGGGTGCAATGTAAGGCCCCGTGTCAGAAAGTTGGGTCTCCATCAGAGGTCATGGGTCTTCCAGCAGGACAATGACCCCAAATCTCACGTCAAAACGCCCCTAGAAATGGTTTCAGAAAAAGCGCTGGAGACAACTGAATTGGCCAGCAATGAGTCCAGATCTCCATCCCATAGAGCTCCTGTGGAGAGATCTCAGAACAGCAGTTGGGAAAAGGAACCCTTCCAATCTGAGAGACCGGAGCAGTTGGAGAAAAAAAGATTCCAAAATTCCAGTAGAGAGGTGGAAGAAACTCCTTGATGGGTACGGGAAGCCAATGATTTCACTTATTTTTTTCCAAGGTATATGCTACCAAATATTACATGGAGGGTGCCAACAATTTTGTCCAGTCCAGTTTATGGGTGCAATGTGTCAGATTTGGCTTTTTTTTCCTCCACTTTTTTGTGTCATACCAATACAAACAAAAGAAATAATCATGAGAATGCTGAAACATTTGTCATTGCAGCAATTTTCTGGGTGAACTGGTGCATTATCTGACAGAAACACGGGGGGGGGGCAAGATTTTTGGCCATGACTGTATGGCATTGGTCTAAGCTGCACCAATGCAACTATACAAAAAGAAATCTACACCTGGAATTCAGCTTTAAAGGATTAGTTCACCTTTACAAAGACCTGCCTATGTTGGTACGGGACATCTGCAGGACAAACTGTGCAGCTTTGACTAAAGGTAAATAAGGCCCTTGCTTTGGTGTAGGCCATTTATTTACCTCCTGAAGCCAGGCTGAAAAAGTCCTAGAGATGGGGTCATCCCATCCTGCTTTGTTGGTAGGACATTGCTAAGACACTCCCAGCCATTACTGCTCACCCCCACCATCACAGGAGCAAGCTCTTAAATTCTCGCATGTCTGGTCCACTATCTCCTCCAGCGTCATTGGGAACTGCGACGGGGAGACAGCATGTGAAATCAGATGGGAGTGTCTTAGCAACATCCTAGCAACCTAGGCAGGATAGGTTGGCGCCTTCTCTGGGAGTTTTTTTGCCAGGCTTCGGGAGGTACGTAAACCATAGCAAAGGCATTTTTACACTTTGGTTAAAGCAGCACAGTTTGTTTTTATCTACAGGCTCCAATGAACTGCATAGGCAGCTATTTGATACGGGTGAACTAACCCTTTTAGGATGGGTAAGCTGCAATATATTAAATGTTTGCTTTTGGGTTTAATATCACTTCAGTTGAAATAGGCCAAGTACATTCCAGGTGTACCAGAAAAAAATGTGCAAATTCTTACGGCTAATTTTCTTTAGAAGGTAACCACAGCCTGAGCAGAAAAGCCTGTCTCCTGCCAGCATGATGCAGAGAAGGACCCTTGTTCTCTATGTAGTTGTCTTCCTGCAGACCCCCTGCTGAATCAGACATATAGCTCTTCAATCCGTAAAGCTCATACTCCCTGCTGACTGGAAAGGTCTACGTGTTACTAGACTTTCGGACCTATGAAGAGAGAGAAGTTCCTTCTTTGTAGCCTGTTGGCCAGGGACAGGCTTTTCATTCCAGGCTGTGGCTGATTTATAAAGATAACCAACCATAAGACACGTTTGGTTTTGATGTGCACCAAGAATGTGTTTAGCTCCTTAAAATGCAATCATATGTGATTATGAAAACGAGAGCTGCATCTGGGTTTTTGCATGCATGCTCTTCGGTCCCTTAGAAGATAATATTGGCTGCCAGAAAGTTTGTTCATTACAGGGAAGCTCATGAAAGAATCATTTCTGGGAAGACATTCATTCCAGCGGCATGTCATCACCCACCTTATGAACAAACTGCTCCACCCGGGTCTGTAGACCCCACACTTCGAACTTCACAGCAACCAGCTTGTATGAACACATGACTGGCTGCTCAGCCTCTCTCCAGCCCTCCTTCAGGAGACCCCGGCCTGTCTTCTCCGACTTGAAGGTCTTGGGGTCCTGGAAAACACCATGGAGGTATGTAACACCGTGGAGGAGGCACCGTGTAAGGCATGTAACCGTGGAGGCATGTAACACCGTGGAGGCATGTAACACCGTGGAGGCATGTAACACCGTGGAGGCATGTAGCACCGTGGAGGCATGTAACACCATGGAGGCATGTAACACCATGGAGGCATGTAACACCATGTAGGTATGTAACACCATGGAGGTATGTAACACCATGGAGGTATGTAACACCATGGAGGTAAGTAACATCATGGAGGTATGTAACACCATGGAGGTATGTAACACCATGGAGGTATGTAACACCATGGAGGCATGTAACACCATGGATGTATGTAACACCATGTAGGTATGTAACACCATGGAGGTATGTAACACCATGTAGGTATGTAACACCATGGAGGTATGTAACACCATGGAGGCATGTAACACCATGGAGGTATGTAACACCATGGAGGCATGTAACACCATGGAGGCATGTATCACCATGGATGTATGTAACACCATGGATATATGTAAGACCATGGAGGTAAGTAACACCATGGAGGTATGTAACACCATGGAGGTATGTAACACCATGTAGGTATGTAACACCATGGAGGTATGTAACACCATGGAGGTAAGTAACATCATGGAGGTATGTAACACCATGGAGGCATGTAACACCATGGAGGCATGTAACACCATGGAGGTATGTAACACCATGGAGGTAAGTAACACCATGGAGGTATGTAACACCATGGAGGTATGTAACACCATGGAGGTAAGTAACACCATGGAGGTATGTAACACCATGGAGGTATGTAACACCATGGAGGTAAGTAACATCATGGAGGTATGTAACACCATGTAGGTATGTAACACCATGTAGGTATGTAACACCATGGATGTATGTAACACCATGGAGGTATGTAACACCATGGAGGTATGTAACACCATGGAGGTATGTAACACCATGGAGGTATGTAACACCATGGAGGTATGTAACACCATGGAGGTATGTAACACCATGGAGGTATGTAACACCATGGAGGTATGTAACACCATGGTATGTATGTAACACCATGGAGGTATGTAACACCATGGAGGTAAGTAACACCATGGAGGTATGTAACACCATGGAGGTAAGTAACACCATGGAGGTATGTAACACCATGGAGGTATGTAACACCATGGAGGTATGTAACATCAAGGTATGTAACACCATGGAGGTATGTAACACCATGGAGGTATGTAACACCATGGAGGTATGTAACACCATGGAGGTATGTAACACCATGGAGGGTATGTAACACCATGGAGGTATGTAACACCATGGAGGTATGTAACACCATGGAGGTATGTAACACCATGGAGGTAAGTAACACCATGGAGGTAAGTAACACCATGGAGGTAAGTAACACCATGGAGGTATGTAACACCATGGAGGTAAGTAACACCATGGAGGTAAGTAACACCATGGAGATAAGTAACACCATGGAGGCATGTAACACCATGGAGGCATGTAACACCATGGATGTATGTAACACCATGGATGTATGTAAGACCATGGAGGTAAGTAACATCATGGAGGTATGTAACACCATGTAGGTATGTAACACCATGGAGGTAAGTAACACCATGGAGGTAAGTAACACCATGGAGGTATGTAACACCATGGAGGTATGTACCCAGATGCTGCCTACTTTTATCTTGTGGTACAGAAGATGAGACAGTGACACAATATTATTACAATTAGGCTCCATTTACACTTCTGCGACTCCAAAAGTTGTGCGATTTCCATTGTGACTTTGATGGAAGTTTGGATGGATGCGACTTCAGCTGTTGATTTTGGCTTTGACTGTCGCATTGATAACATTAAAGTGATTCTAAAGGCTCAAGGCTTTATGTGTTCTATGTATGTATGAAGGTAAATAACCTTTTGTGTGCAGCAGCCCCCCCACAGCCAGGTTCCCACTGCGCATACACGAGAAGTGCTGCGCTTTGTGAATGGTCCGGCACTCTTCTGGGACCTGTCACATGTCCCAGAAGACTACAGGGAGGGAGGAAGTGGGAGCGGGTACCTGTCAAATTTAGGTACCAGCTCCCCCTCCATCCCCAAGGTCCATAGTCTCTGGTCATCCCCTTTACGGTGTCCGCAGTCTCTGGTCAGTCTCTGGTCATCTCCTGTACTGTGTCCGCAGTCTCTGGTCATCTCATGTACTGTGTCCGCAGTCTCTGGTCATCTCCTGTACTGTGTCCGCAGTCTCTGGTCATCTCATGTACTATGTCCGCAGTCTCTGGTCATCTCCTGTACTGTGTCCGCAGTCTCTGGTCATCTCCTGTACTGTGTCCGCAGTCTCTGGTCATCTCCTGTACTGTGTCCGCAGTCTCTGGTCATCTCCTGTACTGTGTCCGCAGTCTCTGGTCATCTCCTGTACTGTGTCCGCAGTCTCTGGTCATCTCCTGTACTATGTCCGCAGTCTCTGGTCATCTCCTGTACTATGTCCGCAGTCTCTGGTCATCTCCTGTACTGTGTCCGCAGTCTCTGGTCATCTCCTGTACTATGTCCGCAGTCTCTGGTCATCTCCTGTACTATGTCTGCAGTCTCTGGTCATCTCCTGTACTGTGTCCGCAGTCTCTGGTCATCTCCTGTACCATGTCCGCAGTCTCTGGTCATCTCCTGTACTATGTCCGCAGTCTCTGGTCATCTCCTGTACTATGTCCGCAGTCTCTGGTCATCTCCTGTACTATGTCCGCAGTCTCTGGTCATCTCCTGTACTGTGTCCGCAGTCTCTGGTCGTCTCCTGTACTGTGTCCGCAGTCTCTGGTCATCTCCTGTACGGTGTCCGCAGTCTCTGGTCATCCCCTCTACTGTGCCTGCAGTCTCTGGTCATCTCCTATACTGTGTCCCCAGTCCCTGGTCATCTACTGTACGGTTTCCGCAGTCTCTGGTCATCTCCTGTACTGTGTCTGCAGTCTCTGGTCATCTCCTGTACTATGTCCGCAGTCTCTGACCATCTCCTGTACTGTGTCTGCAGTCTCTGGTCATCTCCTGTACTATGTCTGCAGTCTCTGACCATCTCCTGTACTGTGTCTGCAGTCTCTGGTCATCTCCTGTACTATGTCTGCAGTCTCTGGTCATCTCCTGTAGTATGTCTGCAGTCTCTGGTCATCTCCTGTACTATGTCTGCAGTCTCTGATCATCTCCTGTACTGTGTCCGCAGTCTCTGGTCATCTCCTGTACTATGTCCGCAGTCTCTGGTCATCTCCTGTACTGTGTCCGCAGTCTCTGGTCATCTCCTGTACTGTGTCCGCAGTCTCTGGTCATCTCCTGTACCATGTCTGCAGTCTCTGGTCATCTCCTGTACTGTGTCCGCAGTCTCTGGTCATCTCCTGTACTGTGTCCGCAGTCTCTGGTCATCTCCTGTACCATGTCTGCAGTCTCTGGTCATCTCCTGTACTGTGTCCGCAGTCTCTGGTCATCTCCTGTACGGTGTCCGCAGTCCACTGGTTCAGAATATTTTTTTTTCTTGTTTTCCTCCTCTAAAACCTAGGTGCGTCTTATGGAGCAAAAAATACGGTAGTTGTTTGAGAGAACTATTATTCCTTTATAGAGGATTTGAAAATTTACAAATGCAGCAATTTAGAAGTTGGATGGAAGCTTTAGCGCTGTAAAAGGTCGTTTGATAGATAAGTAGTGCATTTTATATACAAATATATAGATCAGACCAAAATGAGGGACAAATGAGGAAGAGGGAGGGACAGAAGGACTTTGTTCCGAATCAGGGACAGTCCCTCGAAATCAGGGACAGTCCCTTAAAATCAGGGACAGTTGGGAGCTATCCATTACATTCATTTTTCTGGCACATGCGTTTGAACTGTGTTTTTGCTGCATTTAAAACTGCATGTTGTGTAAATGAGCCCTTAGAGATGCAAATATGTGGACTTTCCCAGGAGCGGGCTGAATGCAATGTCTGTAGGACTGGATATGTTACTAAATATATATATTATAAACTGCTACTAATAATAATATAATCACATCGGTGAGAGAAGGCCGTCCTCCTGGAGCGCCCCTCTCGCAGCTCTACTACTCCTTCAGGCTGAAGTTGAAACCCCCCCAGATGACATTCTTCTTGTCTGTTCTTCTCCGGCTCCAGGATTGCCATAATACGCGCTGATAATTCTGCCGCGTTGTGTTCAGCGGAGATTTATAAAATCGAGGCATTGTCCTGACATTGATTGCCGCGTGTCTGACACATTAAAAAACCTCATTTCTCCCAGACGCGCCGCCGCTTTCATTACACATTTTCAAACCGCAGAAAATTGTCTTTTTTTTTCTCAAACCCACATCGTCTGATTTGAGGGCCCAGCAGGTCGGACGGAATAAAAACTTCCATGGGTTATTACCACAAAACCTCTGCGCTGATGGCTTTAAAGACGGGCAACAGTGCGTGACATGTGAGCCTCACAAGCGAGCGACGGCTTTTCTCGCCTCTTTAATCCCGGCTGGAGCACAGGAGGGACAAATTGCTTTTCATTTTTTTTTTTAACGTTCACTAAATTGATCTGCAAGATGGAGTTTTTACATTATACGATCGAAGGATTCACGAGACGCTGCTTTGTTGACGGTTAAAGCGAAAAGCCGCTTAATTTAGCTGTGCGTTACATCAATCTGCACTTCATTCACACCAAATGTCAATAAGGAGTTCTAATGGAGTGCCGTGCACAAAAATCTAATCACAGCCCTCCACCTTCTCTCTGGGCTGGTAACATTAGAGATTGGTAATCACTTAGGGGTCTATTTATAATACATTTGTTGTACAAATGTCAGAAACATTCCAGCAAGTTGAACAAAATGTCCCGTATTTTTTCTAAGAGTTTAATGCCTGTATCGTTGGCTCCATCTAGTGGCCAAAATGCGGTATAGTATTCTCAGTGAGGGGTTTCAGAAACAATACCGCATTTTAGCCACTAGATGGAACTGACAAAACACACAGTATCTTAAAGTGGTT